AGATCTTCTGAAGTTAATACTGATGAGATACCTAGTGGACCTGTAGGTATAGACCCTGGTTTTAAAGACATGTATAAAGATAGGGGACCCAAATATGCTGGAAAGTTGGGAGGGGATGAGCAATATCTGGACAGTTCAGATCCAGGTAGTGAGGATACAGATGATGAAGTAGATAAAGAAGATGGGGTGCATAATCCTCAACCAAGAAGATACAGCAGTAGGGTATAATTTCATCCTGCTTGTAAGAAAATTTGTTTCCAGTTGGAAATGGTGTTTGAAAATGTGAACAGTTCAGATCTGCTTCGCAAGATTATGTTGTACAAAGAAGAGTTCAAATTAAGTTGAGGCCTAATGAACATCATAGGGTTAGGGCAAAATGTGTGAACTCAACAAGATGTAGATGGCATATTTTGGGAAGTTTGGAAGGATACACAGGGAATTTCATTGTCAAGAGCTACTATCCTGTTCATAAGTGTTTTTGAGCAACCAAACAAGATGGCTAATACAGCATGGGTAGCTAAACATTTCAAGGACAACATTATCAACCAACCTGACATTAAGCTTAGGAAGTTGCAGGAATTGATTAGGATAAAGTATGGTGTATATGTGGGAAAATCCATATGTGCTAGAGCTAAACATCAGGTCATGGGTCAGTATCTTGGTGATTACAAGAAGGAGTTTGCTAGAATATATGATTATGCTGACATGTTGAGATCTACAAATCGTGGCAGCACTGTTGTTGTGAAGACCTCCAAGGAGACAATATCTGGTAAGGAGGTGTTTGTGGGTATCTATATTTGTCTACATGCTTGCAAAGTTGGTTGGTTAGAAGGGTGTAGAAATGTTATTGGCTTTGATGGAGCATTTCTGAAGGGTGTGTGTAAGGGTGAGCTACTATCATGCATTGGTAAAGATGGTAACAACCAAATGTATCCTATTGCCTGGGCAGTGGTGGAAAAGGAGACAAAGCACACATGGTCATGGTTTTTTAGGTGCCTGATGCATTATCTGCAGCTCACTGAATCCCAAGGTGAGGGGTTGACCATCATTTCTGATATGCAGAAGGTATATACTACACCCCTGTTCTTCCTTTAATTACTTGGATACTTTATATATGTTTCTGATATTCTAATTATTATTTTTTTGTTGCTTAAGGGACTTGTTGCATCTGTTTCTGAGTTATTACCAAATGCTGAGCACAGAATGTGTGCAAGACACATATGGAGCAATTGGAAACAAAAGTGGAAAGGAGAGGAAAGAAGGAAGAAGTTTTGGGCATGTGCAAGGTCTTCATTTGAAGCATATTTAAGGCTAAGATAGATGAGCTGGCAGAATTAGGTGATAGTAAGATCATTGAGGAATTGCTGAGATACCCAAAACAATATCGGTGTAGAGCATTCTTCAAAGATTGGAGTAAATATGATTCTGTGGAGAACAACATGTGTGAGACCTTTAACAGTTGGATCTTGTCTGCTAGGCACAAGTCTTTCATAACCATGTTAGAAGAGATTAGAGTGAAGGTGATGGAGAGGATGACTACCATGAGAGAATTTGCAACAAGGTGGATTTCTGATGTATCTCCTATGGCAATGGGGTACATAGAGGAACAATCTCAATATGCTGTTAAGCATGAATTTAAATGGAATGGGGATACTGGGTATGAGATACAACATGGGGTTTACAAACATATTGTTGACTTCTTCAACAATACATGCACATGTAGATCATGGCAGCTCAAAGGAATACCATGTTCCCATCCAATATCTGCAATGTTTTTTAAGAGATTTGAGCCTGCTGACTATGTAACCCACTGGTACAAGAAAAAAACATACCTGAAGGCTTTTAGTTGTTACATACAACCAGTAACCAACATGGAGATGTGGCCATCAACACAGAATCCAACTGTTGAGCCTCCTGTGATTACCAAGATGCCTGGTAGACCTAAGAAAAACAGAAAAAGAGCTCAAGATGAACCTAAGAAGAAGTTTGGTAAGAGATCAAGGAAAGGGACACAAATGAAATGCTCTAATTGTAAGACAGTAGGCCATAACAAGAAGGGGTGTCTTATCCTAGTAATGTATTCAATTTGTGTCTGATTGTGTCTTGTACTTTGGTTGTTTCTATATCTCATTTTTTATTTTGGAAATTTCAGAAAGGACAAGGATCTGGAACAACAGGAACCAGTAATGCTGGTGCTACTCAACCATCACAGGCTGCTCAAACAACAACTCAATAATCAGGTCCTACAAGTGATTCTGGAACTGCTAGGGCCAGAAATACTCAACCATCAGCTATTGCAAGTGCATCTGTAAGTGTTCATTTTAGTTAATTTAGTTAATCTGTATTAGGACCAAAATTTTTAAATTACAAGATAGTACTTTATCTTACACCAGGATACTGAAAGTATGAGATCAAGAACTTCTGAGGATATTATAGTTAGTGTTAGAGGAAGGCAAGAGGTAGTGGACTACGAGGAAGACCAAGAACAACTGGATTTGGTATATTGTTTAGTGATATAGGAACAATGATAGAAAGGGTAAGATCATTAAGGATTTGAATTTTTATTTATATATTAGTTGTTTGGGGTACTAATTTGGCTTCCTATGCAGTGTGGAGCAAGAGATAGAGTACATTCTGCTCCTACAAAAGTAGTGGATGCTGGGCAGACCAATATCGATCTTGGATACAGTGCACCTGGACTAAGGTGGCAAGGAAGAAATGCTATATCACAAAGGCAACTTCAACAACAGTTGAGGAGAAGACAAACTCAAGCAAGCCTTAGCCAACCTCAAGTCCATTCTTCATCTCAGCCAAGCCAGTCTCCATGTCCAAACTTGAGCCAATCTCAGCAAAACATCAACCAATCTCAACCTTGAAGCTGATTGAATGTTTGTTTTTGTGATAACTTAAGTTTGTTAGTTGCGGAACTTAATTTGTAGGTTAACTTAAGTCTGTTTAACTATGACTTTTCTTTTGGAACAATGTTTAAACTATTTCTGCTACTAGACAGCAATTCAGTGCTAATTTTGTCAACCAAGAAGGCTGATCGAACTTGGTTATTTATATATGTGTGCTTTTTTATGTTAAAATTGCTTTTCATTCTACAAAAAATATATCATTCATTCTTTCATTATCACTGTCATTATCATTGTACATAGGGTTATGAAGTTAGTGCTAACTACACTAAGAAGAAAATTACAATTATTAGTGCTACTACAACAACTAAAGTTGCAATGATCTTCACCCTCTTCCGACGTTGTAGTCGATCTCTCTCTTTAATTCTTGATAACAGCCCTGAAATCACCTGTTTATAGTGATCTGGAAGAGGTGGGTCAAACCACCTAAAAAATTACAAGAATTTGCTCGACCATAGTTTGAGCACCCATAAAACCTCCTTCCTGGATTTGTTGGCTTCCAAGTGATGCAAATATGAGCTTCAACTCCACAATGACAAAATACAGGACTTTGATTCATTATCACAATCTGGAAAAAGAAAAAAAATTAAAGAAAGCTTCAGATTTTAAGAAATAGGCGAAATGAAGCTTCAAATGCTTATAAAAGAGGGATAATGTGTATCCAATTGAAAGAATAAGACCCCACTTAAATAGGACCTATTTTTGACCGTTGGGCGTTGGGAAGGCGGTCTCTTACGCTCCTAAAAGTCGTGACATTCACGCAGCGGGCTGACTAGGACCAACTAACGCCACATGGGATGGGTCAACGGTCAATTGTGTTTATTAGTTATAGGTTTCAGGAGTTTGAGTGTTTAAATGGGAAAGACAAAAGTTTATATATCGACTTTTAAAAGCCCTACAAGTTTAAGTGGCCAGGAATCCATTTCGCCTATTTCAAAACCATATTTTGTTTCATTCTATTCCATTTATATGGTGAAAACTACCGATTCTTATGCATTTACTTAGTTAATTTAATCATTCAATCATATCTTTTGATAGTTATCATTTCCAAATTTATTAATCTCAAGAACTCAATCACGAGCATGAAATCACTATGAAATAACCAATTTTATTATTTATTTTTAGATATTGGAGCCATTGGTTAAGGACACATTATTTGTGGTAGATTTAGAAAGCTTTCAAGTTAATATGTGAGTGGGGAAAAGCTTTCTGAGTCCATAATTTTTGTATTGCACCAAGATAATATTTGTCTGACTATTATTAATATCCCCTTTCTTTTTAATATTTTATACTTAGTACCTATCAAAAGATTTTATAAATAGAATTTCCCTAATAGATGGGTTGTTCATTAAGGGATAACTACTGCCAGAGACGGATCCGAAATTTTAAACTTATGGGTTTTTATAACAATCTCAAGTTAATCTACACGATAGCTAGACCAATGAATTAGGTTCCAAACTAAATATTCTTATACTTTTAATGAATTTTTTAGTACAAATACATGTCTATGCAAAATTTACTCGGTACACGGGAACCGTACCATTTGCTCTAGATCCGCCCCTGACTACTGCTCCCTTCGTTTAAAAATATTGACACTATTTTCTTATTAGTCCCTTTTAATACGATTAGCACATTCCTATATTCCTTTAATGAAAATCTTGTATAATCAGACAAACAATATGACTTATTTAAGATCACAAATTTTAAAAGTTTTATAGCCACACAAATGTTAGGGCGCATATAAGATCACAAGTTTCTAAAGTATTTATTTATTTATTTATTAAACTGTATGCCAAGTCAAACTAAGCCTAAGAAATTAAAATAGACGAACTATGTAGATATAATAGTATTCACCTATTTTCTATGAAGTTAATTTCATATTTTAGCCATCGCTTAAAAGAAATATTCTAACTCTATTATATTGGTCCATACACCTTTCAAAATATGACCGATTACTTCCAACATTTTGATAAGTTAAATATTTTTGGTGTTTGTAATGCTATTTACAAAAAAATGATTTTTCATCTTTGTAGATTCGGACAATATCTAATCTTTTTGACCTGGACAAATAATTCATCGTAACGATGAATCATTGATTATTCACAAAAACTATATTTTATTACTTATGTATATTTATTTATTCAAATGTTTGTTTTTATAATATTGCTATTATTACAAAAATCATATAATATGACTTGGCATATACATGCAACGCCCGTAACGAGAGACTAGTAAAAGATAAAAGCATAGAAGAATTAATTAAATGTAAATAGTCAATAGATAATAAAGAAAAAATAGTGTGGTCTCCAATTAAATGCATGAGATGGAAAAAATATTAATGTGCTTAAGGCTAGGATCTAACTCCCATCGCTTGGAAGACAAACCAGAACCTTTCCCAGCGACATCCAACACCATTTTGATGAGTTGGGTGCCACTTAATTCTATTTGGCAGCGTTGTTTGTATGTATACATATAGTTACAAAACTTCGGCGATGGCGTGCCACCCCCTCCCTCCTTAATAGATCCGCCCCTGAGCGGAACAGTAGGAGGAATAACGGAGTTCTTACCATGAATGGCTTGATCCGACATTTCCAGCAGATCCTTGGCTGGCTCTAAAATGAGCCTTGACAAACAAGTTCTACGAAAAAAGTGTAGGGTCGGTTGCAGTGAGCTTCTTCTAAGAAAACTCGAAAGAGCATCAACCCAAAAAAACAAAAAACAAAATCAATAAAGTGAACATTCAATTTCATTGAAAACCAATTCAGCTGAAGGTCACTTGCAGAATTTACACGAGACAATCATATAAAAGTTGGAAGAATTTAAGAGAAAATTCAGTAATTTTTCAAGGAAAAATTGTGAAAATCACATAAACATTATAATAATGGCAGTCAACAACTGAAGAACATCTCTCTTAACAAAAAAAATGTAGGTTTACGAAGCATCCCTCGTTTATGTAGGGTCTGGGGAAGGGCCACACCACAAGGGGGTGTAATGTAGGTAGTCTACCCTGATGTAAGCAGCAGTGGCTGATTCCACGGCTTGAACCCATGACTTAACATCTCTCTTAATTATGTGAAATATGCAAAGGGTAATTATTAGCACTTTCAGATAGCTCACTTGCACAATAGCTAGATTGATAGTAAAAGATTCTACTAAATGGAAGTAGTTCTTTGAGATACACAAATTCTATAAAATGAAATAATAAAATAAAAAATTAAACTGAAAAAGGACCTGCATTCTTGCGGAGTAAATCCCCTGCCATTCTTATGTATTCTTTTTCTATCTTTTGTCACCTGAAAAGAGCTACAGAATTTGAGGACAAGATCAAGCTTCTATCTGTTTGTGAGCATTTCGTACGTAATACTGCCACCAGCTTCATCTTTATACACCAAATTAAACCCCCATTGTTTTCCACGATGGAGGATGTCCCCTGGACCCAAAGAGGCTTCAAATATCCCATAGTCATTTGGGTTCTTTGCCTGTATATTTGATGTGTGACAGAGACTGTTTAATGGCAAAAATGCAAAGCACATATTAGGGACAGCAGTAGCACGACGTACCACATTCATGGAAAATGAACAGACTTTCTTGAGCTCTTCAGTCCGCATTCCTTTATGTCGGGGAGTTAGTTTTGCTGTAATCTCAATGGTATCTCTCTCATAAAAGTCATAACTCGGTTCCTCATACTCTTTCCAATAACTGGAATCATAATTGTAATGATGCATGCTCCCCTCAAATTCAACATCGTAGCTACGTGCAGAATGATAAAAGCAGCAGCCACAGCATATAGCGAATCCCAAAAAATTTTGGGTGTACCAATGTTCAGGAAGATTGACTGACATCGTTGTGGCACTTCTATCTTGCCATCTGAACCATTCTGGAATTCGTGTTCCATGTATAACAATCTTAAGAACTTCCTGCAAACCAGAAGAGACAGATATATCATTCCATGTGCCATAGTTTTTAGCACATATCTAATGTTTCTGCTGCCTTTTTCTCTTTTTGGTTTCATAAAACATAAGATTTAGAGAGAGACCTCACGCTTAGCCGTCGAAAGATATGAAAAGGGAATAAGCTGCAACATATCATCCATTTGTTGCTTCTGACTGTTCTCCAGCAGTTCTGACACATCTGACCATATTGAGTCTAACCATCGATAGAAATTTTGGTACTCAATATTTGTGACTGCTATTAAATTCAACTCCTTGCATTTAATTACTAAATCTTCCATGCTTCTCAAGGCCAAGTGTTCATCTACATATAGCTCCTTGATGCTTGGGGGAAGCTCTGGCAATGCTTCAAGCCTCTGGCAAAATGTTATGTCAAGGTATTCAAGGCAAAAAAGTTGATTCATCGTTTCAGGCAATTTACAAAAACCATTTCCACTAAGATTTAACTTCACCACAGAGCCTAAGCTTCCAAGACTTCCAAAAACATCATCAGGTAAATTGAGCATTGATAATGAATATTGGACTTTTGGTCCAATCACAAACTTTTTCCTGAATGATAAGACCTCAAGTTTATTTAATCGTGCAACCGAAGATGGTAGTCTTAAAATATCAGTACCATCTGCAAGTAATTCCTCCAAATGTTCCAAGTGACCCAAATTTTCTGGTAAATACTCCAGACCCGAGCAGTAAGAGATGCGCAGAATCCTTAAACTTTTCAACATCCAAATGTTGTGGGGGAGACTGCTAATACAACTACACCAATTCATATCAATAATCCTAAGCAAGTCAAGATGTTCATAAATTGTGGGCTGCTCCAATGTCAGAAGGAGCTGAAGTCCATGTCCTGACAAATGATTTATGGCATTGGGAATTCCAGGCAAGTTTTTAAGTTTTCTGCAGTCTAACAGCTTTAGACTTGTAAGACTTTTCAGTCTCCATATGCTGCTTGAGAGACTCGAAATAGTTTTGCAATTACAGATTTCAAGGAAATTTAGTGAGGTGAGGTTTCCTATAGAGGTGGGAAGCTCCTTAATAGAAACTAATTTTATGATGAGTTCACGGGTACAATTGCTATTCCAGTGAATTTCTGGTAAACTCCCCAGTTTCTCACATTCACTAATCTTCAGATTTCTGAATCTCCAAATACTACTTGGGAGACTTACAAGTTGGTTGCAGGAATGCAATTGTAGGTTTTCTACGGAACTGAGATGCTCAATTGATGCCGGCAGTTCTCTTATCCCAGTTGAAGTGAGGTCGAGTTTCTTCAAGTGGTTCATGTTCCTTTCCACCTCCGGGAACATTTTCAAGTTAAAGCAATAATTGAGATCAAGAACTTCAAGACATTCTGATTGAATAATTGCTGGAAGTCTCTCAAGTGATCTGCAATAATCCATAGTTAACAAAATAAGCTTCTTGAGAAACCCAACAGATGGATGGACTTCCACCAATGCATCACAAGAGCTCAGGATCAACCTTTCCAAATTTGTGATCATCCTAAAATCTGGGGTTTGTATCAATTTGTCGCAATAACTGAGATCAAGAGTCGTCAAAAATGCTAACCTCTGTACCATAGAAGAAAGAAAATTGTTAAGCACATGTTTTCACAATGTATGCATTTATGTCCATCAAAATTGCAACTGTCTATCTGTTAAGTATCTGACTAAGTGGAAAAAGAGATAAATTATCAAAGACGAGAGATCCGAAATGAAAAAAAATAAAAGGGGGAGATTGACACATATACTCCATTCATTCAGAAATTCTCCCTTTATTTGTTCTAATACGACAAGTATATGAATGGTTCCTTTTGTCTGTCACTTATTTCAAGCAACTCATCTGATAGAACAATTCTTCGATTTTCTAAAGACGTGAAGCTTTAGAACTAGAATTCAAAGAAAAGGAACACTCCAAACCATCCAGCTATAAGTTTGCTGCATGACTAAAGGAGCATATGTCTCTCTGTTTTTTTCCTTATATTCTTTATAAAGTAAATATTTTACTGAAAGTAAAAGAAACCATACACAAGATATTTATCACTGAAACATATAAGAGAAGAAGCCTTTCCAAAGAGCATCCGATCCTCTGTACAAGTTGGAATTCTGTATGTACCCGTAACAAGAACTTAAAACCAAAAGCTTGAGTACGGATGAACACTTTTCAATTATAAGATATAATCATTTTCTAACTTTATGATCAGAAACCTTGCATTACCTCCAAATTTTTGAGCATCAAAAACATTTTCTTCCGACTTAAGATCTTCTGGTGACCCACAATTGACTAGCCTGAAAAGCCAAACTAACTATTTTTTACCTTAATAATCAATTAGCCCAACAAAAGGTTATTCGATTTCCTCTCTAGATGCCAAATTATTTATTTCAATCTTCTAAATTAAAATAGACTTGTTATAACTTCAATAGAAGCAAAATTAACATTATTAGATAAAACATGCAGTAACTATTCATCAATTAAAGATAATAACTTTGAATTTCTCTGAGCATATGTTCCGTCTGCATCCATACGTGATTTCATGAAGTTTTGCAGTCAAATATTAATTAAGTGATTGTTCTAACTTTAGCTGTAAGTCTACCGGTAAGAGACGTCAAAGTTTGAAACTTCTTTCAGGATTTATGCAGTCAGTTTTTTGTGCATTTTTATGCTAGAGAATTAAAATTGCAGTCCAGATCAAGAACAATACTTTGAACATCAGCTACTTCAAAAGTTCTGCATTAGTTTCTATCTTACCAAAGCACATATTGTATATCATGTAGACATGAGTGAGGACTGAAATTTGAAATCAAAGGAAGCAACTTGATGGTGGCAACCGTACCTTTGCTCCATTCCAGAGTTTGATGATAGAACTACCCTTCATAGTAAGATATACGAGCTTTGCTGGTTCAAAATTTGATGGCAATGAGTTTGAAGAATAATTACGCCATTCAAGCCAAAGCAGACTGTTAGGAAGATAGGCAACAGGCTCATCAAACCCTCTGTTGTAATATTCTTTCACAAGTATCCTCAGCCTCCTCGTCTTTTTGAGAGCTTCAGCGCTGTACATATATTCCAACTCACCCTCTTCAAACTGTTCAGGCTCTGTGAGTAACAAGCCTTCAATTGCTTCTTTCCTCTGCAGACAAATAAAAAAATATCCTCACAGAAAATAAAATTATACTAAGCACATATAAGTATGCTGCATAGACTAATTTTTTTCACTATATACATACAGACTGACATAATTCTGGGAAATGCATGTATGACCATCTTCGGAGTGAGTATGGCAGTTACATGAAATGTAGTAAGACATTTATCTACACATGTAAGTAAGGCATTTATCTGTTTCCAATCACCTCCCTGTGACTATAAACCATTCCAATTCAATCATCTTATAACTCTTACACTGCATATAGTCCATCTCAAATGAGATTTTTTTTCTCGTCTCCTCTCTAAACGAAAGTTGAATTTAGGCCCTATTTAATGAAAAAAATGTCAAAGATAACGAAACAATCAATACCCTAATAAGAAGGCTTGTTTCTTCCACCCTATAAAAGCTACCGAGGTTCCATCCCAGTTGTTCACTATGAAACTGGGAGTTCCAGAGGGATCACTAATAATGAACTGACATATTTCATCCAGAGGCGTGGAAGAGGCGGCAAATGTTGATTCAGAACACTTTAAAGGTTTCCCAGGGCTCACGACTTCCCTTTTTCTAGGATTAAGTAAAAAGTCTAGCATAACATTTTTGTTTCAAAAATTGGATCCACTAGAATATGCATACAGAATATATTATGAGAAAAAGTTATTGATTCCAGACCTGACCCTCTATTGTCTGTTAGGGGATATTGATTGGACATTATACCATAGCTTACTTAGTCTTCCCTTGGAATTGACTTCTCTAAAAATTACATATGCAACTGGCACTGCTTGGTGTCACGACCCCAAACCGGACCCGGTCGTGATGACGCCTCTCGTGAAGACAAGGCCAGCCGACACAATTCTCAAATCAACCATTTTTCAATAAAAGTTGTTTTTATACTATTTATAAACCGATAATCTCATAATGAACATCAAAAAGAAAAGTGCGGAATAATTACACAAGCCCGGCATCGGGGTGTCACGAGTCATGAGCATCTACCAAGGTCTGAATATAACAAGGGTCTAAAATTGTACTAAATACAGTAATAAAAATGAGAGGAAGGAAGCAGTGCTGCGAACGTCGTACAGCCACCTTGCTAACTTTGATGACTCCGCGTCTGAGCAATCAACACCCGCTACCGGGTTCTGAAATGCCTGAATCTGCACACGAGGTGCAGGGAGTAATGTGAGTACTCCAACCCAGTAAGTAATAAGAGTAAATAAAGACTGAGCAGTAGGAAACAATGAATCCACATTTATGATAACTCAATAAGCACAACAAGCTTGCAAATCCGAAGACGAGTCAATCGTCTCATTTTAAAATCTAGCTTTTGGTAAAAATCATTTGAAAATGCTTTCCACCAGTTCCATTAGGGGTTCGATACCATTTATAATAAAAGAGATGAAAACCATAATAGGCCCCTCGGGCAAAACCTAGTTCGTATACAACCCCTCGGGCAAAAACAGAAATTTGTACCCATTTCATAACTTAAAAACTTCAGTTTGAATGAAAGATTATTTAAAACGTTTGTTCAACATTTTCAATAGATGCTCGATCTAAAGATGAGTGAACGTAGTAATTCAATCCACATATTCGATAAAAACTCACTTTAAGGAGGAGTGAAAAACAGTAAGTTCATAACCAGGCCCCTCAGGCAAAGCATCACTCATGTACCTGTATATATATATATAGCCCCTCGGGTAAGCCTCTCAGTCACTCATAACTCTTACCAATCAGCGCTCACACTCAGCACTCACACTCAATAGGTACCATATAATAACCGTTGCGGTGTGCAGCCCGATCCATATGTCGCTGTAGCGTGCAGCCCGATCCATATATATAGTCGACTGCGCTCACTGAGGGTGTGCAGACTCCGGAGGGGCTCCTACAGCCCAAGCACTATATCGTTGCGGCGTGCAGCCCGATCCAACATATCGCTNTCTCGGTCTTTCTCAGTCATCGACCTCACGATCACTTGGACCATCAGTAAAATAGGGAACTCAGTCCAAACAGTTTTCACATTTTTAAGAAATAAAGTGATAGAACCAGATTTAAACGATAAACAGGTAAAACATGATTGGGGATATGCTTTCAAAACAAATAGAATGAGGAAAATTAGTGAAAGTGCCCCTAAGGGTCTCAGTAGGTCGGCACAAGGCCCCAAACATGGCAGACAGCCCAAAATATAATATAAATCTCTAGAACATGGAATATCATAAGATTTCAAATAAAATACGCGATTTAACAGTCGTACGGGACGGATCAAGTCACAATCCCCAACGGTGCACAACTCCACGCTCGTCATCTAGCGTGTGCGTCACCTCAAAGTAACACTACGATGTGTAATCCGGGGTTTCAAACTCTTAGGACAGTATTTACAATCATTACTTACCTCGATCCGGTCCAAACTCTAGCCCGCGATGCCTTTGCCTTCACTAATCGACCTCCGGATGCTCCAAATCTAGTCACAATCAGTACATAACTATTAAAATATGCAAAGGGAACAAAGCCCACTCGAAAATATCCAATTTTGCATCAAAAATCACGAAATTGCTCCAACCCGGCCCACGTCTCGAAATCCAACAAAATTAACATCAATGGAATCCTCATCCTCTCACAAGTCTATACATACCAAGAACATCAAAATCGAACCTAAAATGGCCCCTCAAAACCCAATTTAACTCTCCAATTTCAAGCCCTAATTTCCCCAATTTTTGCTACTGATTTTCCATAGATTTCAAGTTCAAAATGTTAAAATTCATCATAGAAACAAGTTTAGGGTCCAAAAATCTTACCTCCACGAAATCCTCTTGAATTCCCTCTTCAAATAGCTTTCCCAAGCTTTCTCCCGAATGAAATATGGTGAAAACTCTCACAAAATCGCGAAGGGTGAAATATATATACATTTTGACCCAGGCATTTTCGCACCTGCGATCAATCCACCGCATTTGCGGCACCGCATTTGCGGTCAATTAGCCGCTTCTGCACCTTTCAGTTAAAATCCAAAAATCGCATCTGCGACCACGTAGCCGCACCTGCGCCATCGCAGGTGCGGTCATCCAATCGCATCTGCGGCTCCTGCACTTCTCTTCCTTGACTACTTCTGCGGTCATTTCCTCGCATCTACGGTCCCCAATCCGCAGGTGCGGAAATACTAGAACAAAAAAATCTGCAGCTTCTCAAATTTCCCAAACTCTCCGACAACCATCCGAAATCACCCCGAGGCCCCCGAGACCTCAACCAAAAGTACAAACATATCCCATAACCTTATTCAAACTCGTTCCAACCTTCGGAATGCTCAAAACAACATTGAAACACCAAAAACACATCAAATTCAAGTCTAGGATTCCAAAATCTTCCGAATTCCGTTTTTGATCAAAAACCCAACCAAATCACGTCTGAATGACCTGAAATTTTGCACACACGTCACAAATGACACAACGGAGCTACTACAACTTCCGGAATTCCATTCCGACCCCTATATCAAAATCTCACCTATCAACCGGAAAACGCCAAAATCTCAATTTCGCCAATTCAAGCCTAAACCTTCCACGGGCTTCCAAAATGCATTCTGATCATGCTCCTAAGTCCCACATCACCTAACGGAGCTAACCAAATCATTAAAATTCCGATCCGAGATCATATACCAACAAGTCAAATCTTGGTCAAACTTTTCAAATTTCAAGCTTCAAACTGAGAATTGTTCTTCCAAATTCGTTCCGATTACCCTGAAAACCAAAACCAACGATTTACATAAGTCATAATCCATTAGACGGGGCAAGTCATGCACGAGAACTGACGAGCAAGGTGTAAAAACTCAAAACAACTGGTCGGGTCGTTACACTTGGCTTATCTAGTAGATTGTTTTTAGATTTCATGTGCCGAAATGCTAATTTCTTCGACCAAGTATCTAAAGAGACATATATCATCTTCTACTCCTTTTTTTCCTTTCTACTTCTTGTTTTTCAATTTTATATCCGAATAAACTTAATTCCTCTGTTATGTTTTATACAGATACTCTCCTTTTCAGTCCGTTAAAAAAGAATCCATATTTGGGAACTCTTTAACTAAAGATATATCATTTATCCTTAATGACATGCTCTTACGGCCATAGAAATGTCATGGCATGTTTAAACCCACAAATTGAAGATACTTTTGATATGTGCCAAAAGTCTTTATTTCTTTCTTTCCTAAACTTTGTTTCCAGTCAAGCAATGCCATATAAATAAATAGGAGTAGAAGTTAACCAAAAGCTTGAACTATGGAGAAACACTCTATGGTATAACAATTTTACGATAAGGAGAAGTATGATTGGATATATGCATTGCAGGTTTAGCCGCAAGAGTGAGATTAGGCTCGATGTTCCTAGAGAATGGTATGATATATGAAAAATGGTATACATGGAATCAAAGTACGATGGTTGAAATAGTGTCGACAAAGTTTCTGGGAAATATGTGGAGTTTCATCAACAGGTGGTGTATGATAACCTCTCAAAGTATTGTACCTGTTGTAAGCATCAAGGACATGATGCAGGGAAGAAATAGGGAAGTCAATGGAAAAATTACAGTGCAAGTTGATATGATTGGTGTGGAACTGAGTAATGGTGAGCAGTTAAAAGGTGATGATAGGGAGCTGTTGAATGCTAAACGAGCTGCAAATAAAATTTAAGAAACTGCAAATATTGAGGTGCAGCCAGCTATGAAACCAACAGGTGATATCAGTATAGAAGATCGTGGAGGTGATATTGATTCAAATCGTGAGGCTAATGTAATTACTGTTGATCAAACATTAGCCAGGATTAACACAGCTTTGGAGCCACATGTGGTGAAGGTTAATAACGTTGACAAGGTTATTGGTGAGGAGGAGGAGGAAATAGCTGGGCAGGTGGTTAATAATCCAGGTAAAGCTGGTACTATTTTATCAAAAATAGGTGCACGATCTGCTGCAACTCTTGAAGCATGTTGGTTTTTTTAAAGATGGGGCAGCAAAAGGATTTAAAGTATTAATTGAAAAAGTCTCTCAATAATTTTATTAAGCATAACAAGGCTTTAAATAGCCAATCAGGAACATAATCTGCAGAAAATCTGCATAATAAGAATTCAAAAAAACTAAAATATCTCAACAAACCTAAAAAATCTAACTGAAATTTAAATTTAAAAAAAAGTAGATGTATCCTAAAATTAAGCTAACTTATTATGCTAAAAAAATGCAATAGTAACTTAAGCAAATCATCAACACTCCTCCTTTGCTTCAGTTGCTCTAAAACAATTGCTCCTCCTCAATTACTGCTTCTGCTGTTTGTGCTTGAGGATTGTGTTGAGCGTCTTTGAACTTACACACTTTTATAACATGGCCTGTTTGTTTGCAAATACCACATATTGCATCATGTCTCCACCAACAAAATTTTTCTAGATGTGTTTTCTTTTTGCAGTATTTGCAAAGAGGATAATTGACCTTTTCTTTTTTATTTTGTGCATAAAAAGCACCTTCAGTAACCATTTCTTGTCTAAATGCTCTTCTTTGTTCTTGTGCTTGAGGGGCACTTATTAATTCTACAACAGAGATAGTAGAGAGATATTTAGACTCTTCTAGAGAGGAA